CGTGAAGCGGGATGGCAGCGGCCCCCGTGACGGAGCGGGGCAGCGGGAAGCAGGACCAGACACCCCGGTGTCTGCTCTGGGTACACACACGTGTCCCATCCCACCCTCCTTCCACCGCAGGTACTGCAGAGCCGCGGCTATGAGAAGCTGGTGCTGCAGGTCGGTCGGGGTGTGCTGAAACCGGCACTGCACAGCAGCTCGGCCTTAACAGTGGAAACCTTCTCCTTCAAGGACTCGCTGGCCGAGGACCTGCGGAGGGCGGACCTGGTCATCAGCCACGCAGGTAGAGCCCTGTTCTCCTGGGAGCAGGAGTGGGAGTCGGGTGGGTGAAATGTGTCCGTCTGTCTCGGCGGTGGGCTGGCAGTGAATGTGCAGGTTGACAGCTAGAGCAGAACGGTTAAATGTTCACTTTCAGGAGCAAGTGGGATGATACTTCATCTGTCAGGGTGAAAATTCACCATGTTTTCGATTTCTCCTGTAGGTGCAGGTAGCTGTCTGGAGACTCTAGAAGCAGGAAAACCACTAATAGTAGTAATAAACGAAAAGCTGATGAACAACCATCAGCTTGAACTGGCAAAACAGCTCCACAGAGATGGGCATGTCTACTACTGTAACTGCAGGTATGGAGCTGCTGTGGCTGTCCTGAGTGAACAAGCAGTGTTCAGCACTGTCACTCAGTGTCTTATTACAGTACTGAGAATGTAACGAGGAAATGTACACCTTTCTCTGTAACAACCATTTGTTTGCAAAGTTGATTTCCCATAGTGGATAGATTAATGTTAGGTGCTAATTTACCAAACTTCTCAAGCTTTTTGACTGTGACTCCTCTTCATTTTTTTTCTTTGACGTCACATGTATTCACATTGAAAGAGCATTTTAAGCCAAATAGAAGTGGTTGAATTTAGAACAGTCAGGTAGCATCCTAGAGACACCTAACAGCTTCTCTGTTTGTCTGCTCTTTTATAACTAGTTGCTGAATTCTTTTTCAAAGTCTAGAAATAATACAACCCAGACCATCAGTTTGTAACCATGAGCCATAAGGAATAAATTGCTCCCTGCAGGCTTAGGACTCCATCATTTTTGCTGTGTAGATTTTCCTTGTACAGGTTTCTAAAGTTGACTGTATAGATGTACTGACAGAATTGAATGTATCTGCAGTATTTAGATCAAAACATAAGAATGTCCTTTCTGATATGGATGAAGAGTCCATGAAGCTCAATATCCTGTTTGCCATGGCCATGTGCAGATGCCCAGCCAAAAGTAGAAACAGGGCAAGAACATACGGTACTTTCTTGTATTACTTTCTGTATTACTTTCCCTCTAATGTTAGCTACTTTGATTCAAAGGGATTCCTAAATCAGGTGTCTGGTTAGTAACCTCCAATACCCCAGTCTTCCAAATACTTAGGCTGCCCTTTTAACCAAACTTCCTGAATCCACCACATCCTCTGAAAAAGTTTTTCACAGATGTACTGCCTGCCACTTCAGGAGAACAAACAAACAAACAAACAAACAAACCCAACTACCAAAAAAAATCACCAATAAAAACCCCAGCTCATTTTGTTTGTTTGTATTCATCCTGGTTCCTGTTAATTTCATTTGCTCTCTTGTTTTGACTATATCTTACTGTTTTGTCTTTGTTTACAATTCTTTATTATTGTTTACAAATAACAAATGACCTCTAATTTGAAGGCAAAGGAAATGCAACTCCTATTATTTAGTCTGCATCTTGTTCCATTGCCCTCCAGATAGGATTTCGTATGTTTCAGAAGAGCCTTCTGAAAAAAAGCTAGGCCTGTCATTCATTTATATTGGGCAAGTTTCTCAGATTTATTATCTCAGTGCTTCTGACAACTCTGGAGATGGGAAGAAATTTTTATTTCTTTTTGCTGAACAGTGCCCAGCATTTGAGCCTTATTTGCAGTCTGATCATAGCAAGCTAACGCTTGATTTAGCTGTTCTTTCTGGCCATGTGTTAAGTGGAGAGCTATCCCATGTGTTCAGATAGGATGAGTTTCCTGGTACAGTTTATGGTGAAGATCCTCAGATCTTGTTCAGTCTCCCAACACTGCAATCACAGAAAATGAAAAACTTGGAGCTGAGGTTGTCTCTGAAAGCTGTGGTAGAGGTCGAAGGCTGTTGTCAGCAATGCTGCCTATGAGCCAGTGATGGTTGGGGTCCGTTGGTTTGTGGAGTTTCTTCAATATGTATCCTTATTTTTGTTTCCATCCTAAAGGATTATATATGTTTGAACAGAAATAAAATTGTATGAAGAAAAAAATTTCCCTTTGGGGTGGATTTTTTTTTCCTAATTTTTTGTTTTGGTCTCTTTTTTTACAGCACTCTCTTGGAAACACTGCAGTCAATGGACTTGTCAACTTTGAAACCTTTTCCTCCTGGAAAACCAGAGAAGTTCGCTTTGTTCTTGGATGAAGTTGTTGGGCTTCAATAAACAATGCAGAGGAATAAAAATGTCAGATTAAAACGTTTCTCCTCTCCTGGCGAGGCCTTCCGTACTTAAGAGTTCACCACCTAGGACAAACCCTCAAAGAAAATGACTGTTAATAATACTAACTGACATTAAATGGTTTTCTCTGTAGTACCAGTTTAAAGTCATCTAGCTTTATGCCTAAAAAAGCACAGTGAGAAGAAATGAGGGGGGAGTATGAACTGTCTAGTTTGTTGGACAGTTATTTACACCAGAAAATCTGCACTGAGTTGGTCATTCCAGTGAGGAGGACAAGCTAAATTACTTCTGAACAGGCACGGCATATCCATAGTGATCTCTTGACCATATTTGCCTAGTACTACTGGAAATAAGTTGTCCATGTTGAAGTTCCTGTGATGTCCTGCAAATAAGCAGATGCCTTCAGCTCTCATTTCCCATATTCACAGAAGCACTGAAAAGAGAATTTAAAAAGAGAGATATTTAAGCCTCTAAAGAGAAAGGGTCATGTGATGAATCGAGGTGGGAAAAGTCAAGAGCTGCAAAACTGTGCACCAACTTGGCTGCTTTTGGGTCATTTACTCCCAAAGTAAATAGGAGAGGAATGGTGTTGGCAATACAATCCATTTACACGGCGTTACCCCATCGTTGCTTAGTTTGAGCTTCTATGAAGTGCAATGTATCCCATGTGATGCTGATTGGAGCTCCCTGTTTGAAGTATTGAAACTGTCAACTGTGGTGATGTTCCCAACAACTTCAGTAAATATTTTGGAAAAACAAAAGAGGAGTTGAACTTTAAAATGCTCATGCAGGCTATTTGCTCTGTAATACTTTAGTATTGTGTCGATGTATTTTTAGTATTGTCCTTCCTGCAGGTACATGGTTTGTTGGAGCGGTTTTGCTGCTGTTGCTTAAAACAAGAAAAACTGAATCAGTGCATCTGGTGTCTGAGTGCAATTTTTGCCCGCAAGTTAAATGTACATAGAGGCATTATCCTAATCAAATCAAGCACAACGGCTATATGTAGAATGAATCATATTGCACAATTGTGCAAAAGTTATTTTAGCCAATCCCCAATGTTTTCCCCAAATACTTTATTAGAAGCAACTAAGATTTTCAGTTGCTTAACAATTTTTGCAGCAGTGTAGTTACTTCAAGTTTACCGCTAGCAACTTATCTCAAGTCTGAGAGCATGCAGGATGCCACAGGAAATTTTACACAACTATTTGATTTTCCACGAGTTCTTTGCATTCCCGGGCCCACCAAGGGATGAATTTGGAAGGCGTCAATGTGGCGGGGACACCCTGCTCTTCCCGGGGCAGGTCCGGGAGGAGCCGCCGTCTGCCGGGGCTCACCGCGGTTTGGCTTTGCACCCCCACGCCGAGAGCTGGGAGTGGGCTGGAGGGAAACGACCCCACCGCGCTCGGTGGGTATTTAGGGGCTCTTCGTGGGCATCTTAAAATGGCTGCTGCAGGAGGCAGCTCCTGCGGGCGGTCCGCGGGCTCGCCGGGAGCGCACCGCTGGCAGCTGCCTTCGGGGCAGTTCGCAGGCAAAGGGAACCGGGAGGAGTCCGGCTTGGGC